CAGGCCCAGAGTTCAGGCCCCACGACCGGACCCAAAAAATAAAAAATAAAAAAAAAACAATTTAAAAAGTGATGGCTTTATTTCTGCTATCACAGTGTCAAACAGAATAATTTTACTGTGCCTGAAGTCCCCTGCACTTTCTCTATTCATCTTTTGTTGTTGTTGTTGGTTGTGGAGCACTCAGGGCCTGAGTTCTGTCTCTGAGCTCTTTTTGCTCAAGGCTAGTGTTCTACCACTACCTGAGCCACAGTGCCACTTCTAGCTTTTTCTTTTTTTTTGTCAGCCGTGGGGCTTGAACTCTGGGCCTGGGCACTGTCACTCAGCTCTTCAGCTCAAGGCGAGCGCTCTACCACTTGAGCTACAGCGCCATTTCTGGCTTTTTTCTTTTTGCTTATGTGGTGCTGAGGAATTGAACCCAGGGCCTCATGCATGCAAGGCAAGTGCTCTACCACTGAGCCACCTTCCCAGCACCCTTGTTGATTATTTTAAAGCAAGTTCTGTGGGAATATCACTTCGTGTGTGTGTGTGTGTGTGTGTGAATATCACTTCGTGCGTGTGTGTGTGTGTGTGTGTGTGTGTGTGTGTGTGTGCGTTTTGCTGGATTCAAACCCAAAGCTTGTAAATGCTAGGCAAACATTCCACAACTAAGACTAAGCATCATTCCTTCCCCCTCACCACCTACCTATCTACCAACCTATATACTCCCCCCCCCCTTTTTTTTTTCTTTTTTTGGTTAGTCATGGGGCTTGAACTCTGGGCCTGGGAGCTGTCTCTGAGTTCTTCAGTTCAAGACAAGTGCTCTACCACTTGAGCCACAGTGCCATTTCTGGTTTTCTGTTGGTTAATTGGATAAAAGTCTCACGGCCTTTCCTGCCCGGGCTGGCTTTGAACTGTGATCCTCAGATCTTAGCCTCCTGAGTTTGGATTACAGGCTTGAGTCACTGGCACCCAACACGACCTATGTACCTTTCTAATCTTCTTTTTTTTTTTTTGCCAGTCCTGGAGCTTGAAATCATGGCCTGGGCTCCCTGAGCCTCTCTGTGCTCAAGGCTAGCGCTCTACCACTTGAGCCACAGTGCTACTCCCAGCTTTTCCCCCACTGTGTATGTGGTACTGAGGAATTGAACCCAGGGCTTCATGCATGCTAGGCAAGCACTCTACCACTAAGCTACATTCCCAGCACAATTCTGACTTTTTGAACTCACAATCTTCCTGAGTGAAGCCTCCCAAGTTTTGGGATTATAGGGATTATATCATACCTAGCTCATCTTTAAGTATTTTGACATATATCTTCAAAATATAAGAACTTTTTGGAAAAAAAAGTCACAATATACTTCTACCCGTTTAAAAATCAACAGTATTTCCAAATATCATCAAATATAGAGGGATGTTTCTAAATCTCTCAGTGCCCAACACTCCCAGCGCAATCATTTTACATACTACATCATGAACAGAGCTCCCTGTGCACTTACCACAGTTTCTCCTTCTTCCACAGTATGGACCTTCATATAGACCCCCACTACAGCCTCCTTGGGGAGCTCACCAAACTTGGTATTGACCATAGAACATTTGATTGGATAAGGAAACCTGGATCTGAAACATGAAAGCTTGTTAGAGAGAACTCTAACGCACAGCTCATAAGGTTTGAGTAATCACCCTGACTACTGCACACTGAGAACTCTTGCCTCCTGAAGGTGAGAAAATTCAAAAGGAAGCTCTGAGACAGATCAAACAGTCAGGAGCTGGAGAAGTGGAGCAGGGAGGAGACTTAGGAACAAGGACTCCTTACACACCTCAAAGCTGTTTACTTAAAGGACTGATGACCTCCTGAGTGGAACTAGGCCTGATGGGTTAGAAGTCTACAGAGTCCAAGGGATCTGGATAAGGGTTGGTACTCAGGATTATTTGGTGGAGTAAGGAATATCTAAGAGTCAGAGCTGTCTAGAAATGGAAAAGATTGCTGTATCCTTGGTTACAGCAGCAAAACTCGGGGCTCTTTTGGACAGGAAGACAGAGGAGAGGTGATTTGTCTGTTTCCCTGGGTAGGCTACAGCCCCTAGACCTTGTTAATAGTAGGTTTAATTTCACACATACAATCCATTGTGCTTTCTTTGGTGGTTTTATAAATTACAAGGAATAGAAGGTTATGCTGTTTGGATGATAAAGATTATTTCCCAGGTTTGAACACTCGCTCTTCCTACCTCTGTGACCTTGAACAAGCAACTCACCCTCTGCACCCTTTGTTTTCTCACCTAAACAATGAAGTGATAATAATAGCACTCCTAGAGTTTTTGTGAGGATTGAATTAGATAATACAGTAATAGGTACAGAAGCATTCTGTGTCACATATAATAGTTATTACTCCATTTGCCTGGCTTGCAACAACCATGGGACTTTCTATTAAGACATAAGACTTGAAGCCGGGTGCTGGTGGCTCACGCCTGTAATCCTAGCTACTCAGGAGGCTGAGATCTGAGGCTCACGGTTCAAAGTCAGCCTGGGCAGGGCAGGAAAGTCTGTGAGACTCTTATCTCCAATAAACCACTGGAAAACAAGAAGTGGCAACCGGAAGTGGCAACTGGAAGCGGCTTTGTGGTTCAAGCGGTAGAGCACTCGCCTTGAGCTGAAGAGTGCAGGGACAGTGCCCAGGCCCAGAGATCAAGTCCCACAACCGACCAAAAAGAAAAAAAAAACATAAGACTTGAGAGGTCAACAGCCAAAATATGTGTCCAAGCCAAATTGAGAACCTGGGTTGAGTCAACTGAAAATCAGGCTCTAATCTGCTGTGCTACAGTGTGCTCTTAGCCGAACAGAATTTCTGAAGAAGCTGAGTTGGAAGGTCTAGTAATACATATAGAGAGCCACAAGATTTTTTCTGCTGCTTTCCTTAAATGGGTTACTGAGGTCCTGAGAAAAGATGTAGCTGACTGCCAAAAAACAGTGGGCCTGTTAATTTGAGGCAGAGAACACAGGTCCTGGATGTCAAACCTAGGACTTTTCTATGCTATCTTCTACATGTGCCCACCCCGCTGGGGATAGCCTATCTGCCACCTCTACTTCCTTCCCAGAATCCCTGACATTCTGTTCTATAAGTTAATACCCCTTCTACAATCAAATCTGTAGAGCTGGGGATATAGCTCAGAGATAATGCCTCCTAGAAAACGTAAGGCCTTAGGAAGAGAAAAAAAAACCAAGCCACACTGAGTCTTTTATTTGCTAAGAGCTGAGCTTACCTGATCTTAGGGCCCATTATCTTTGGCAGAGTATTTTCTGGGTCTTGGAACCTCTCATTTAAACTTGTCCCCTCTTGCTCACAAGCTTTCTGGAGATGTAGGAGTTTCAAAGCAGTGAAGTCCTGTAGAGGATACGATTTAATCTGGAATTCTTTAAATCTCTTCTCAGGATATGGTTCTGTTAGAGAAAGCCCAGGAAAGCACATTAAATGGGTATTTGCAATGTAACAGTATAGTTTATAGTAACCTGCCTTCAATAACATGGCAATAAGAGAATGTAGAAGAAAAGAAAAACATGATAGCCTCCATGTAATGTCCTTTGGTGTGTACCCTATGCTTGAACTTTCCATCCAGAGAAGTACAATTAGGCAGAAAAGAGGTAATATGAACATCACAGATATCAAGTTGCCTTGAATAGGGTTGAAGTTATATTTAAACTAAGATCTATTTGCTTCAAAGCTTGTATCTTTCCATTAATAGATCATATTTTCCCTGGCTTTCGAACTGGCCTTCCAAATTAGGACACAAAGGGGGTTTATAGTACAGTACTTGCCTAGCATAAAAAAGGTCCTGGGTTCAATATTGGGGAAGATACAGTAATAAAAGAGATGGGTGAGATAGATGCCAGTGGCTCATGTCAGTAATCCTCCTACAAATCTCAGGAGACTGAGATTTGAGGATCATAGTTTGAAGCTAGCCTGAGCAGGAAAGTCCACGAGACCCCTATTCTCCAGTTAAGCAGCAAAGAGCCCCAAGTGGAGCTGTGGCTCAAATGGTAGAGTACCAGCCTTCAGCTAAAATGCTCAGGTATAGCATCCAGGCTCTGAATTCAAGCCCCAGTGCCTGCACCAAAGAGAGGGAGTGGGGCGGGATGACTGGCACAGAACTTTGGTTAAATCATGTAATCTGTAGAGCCCCGCTCACTCCTGCTGCTGCCTCCACAGCATTATTGAAAGAATTACAGGGTAACAGAGGGGCTGAGTTTGCATGTATGGAAATATCACAATGAAACCCCTTCATACACTAACTGTATGCTAACAAAAAGAGAAAGAATGAATTACAGATAAAGTAGTATATGCCTAGGATAATGCTAGCATATAATAGGCCCTCCATACAGTTATTGAAAAGAAATATTATTTGGAAATAATGAACAAATCAACTACTCTAAAATAGTATGCTTAAAATAGTATGCTTAGTGGAAGAACCCAGACACCAAAGAGTTCAAACTGGTTGATTCCACTTCCATGGAACCCCAGGAAAGAGAAGCCTAATGTATAGTGAAAGTGGTTGCCTAGGCCAGGGTTGAGGTGTGGCTGTGAAGGGAGGGAGAGAAGGAGAGAGGAAGAAAGGGGAGAAGGGATCGGAGGAGAGAGAGAGAAAAGCCTGACTAATAATAATAAAAAAAGTAACCTAGCAGGGCGCTGAGGGCTCACACCTGTTAATCCTAGCTACTCAGGAAGCTGAGATCTGAGGATCTCGGTTCAAAGCCAGCCCGGGCAGGAAAGTCCGTGAGACTCTTATCTCCAATAAACCAACAGAAAACCGGAAGTGGCGCTGTAGCTCAAGTGGTAGAGCGCTCGCCTTGAGCTGAAGAGCTGAGGGACAGCGCCTAAGCCCAGAGTTCAAGCCCCATGGCCGACAAAAAAAAAAAAAAAAAAAGAGAGAGTTGGAAATGTGGGTTATTGGTAGAGTGTTTGCCTAGCATGCATGAAGCCCTGGGTTCAATTTCTCAGTACCATATAAACAAAAAAAGCCAGAAGTGGTGCTGTGGCTCAAGTGGTAGAGCACTAGCCTTGAGCAAAAGCTCAGGGAGTCGGGCACTGGGTGGCTCTCGCCTGTAATCCTAGCTACTCAGGAGGCTGAGATCTGAGGATCATGGTTCAAAGCCAGCTCGGGCAGGATAGCCCATGAGACTCTTACCTCCAATAAACCACTCGAAAACTGGAAGTGGCGCTGTTGCTCAAACAGGAGAGGGCTCGCCTTGAGCTAAAGAGTGCAGGGACAGGGCCCAAGCTCAGAGTTCAAGCCCCACGCCCAACCAAAAAAAAAAAAAGCTCAGGAACAATGCTCAGGCCCTGAGTTCAAGCCCCAATAATCTTGGCTACTCAGGAGGCTGAGATCTGAGGGTCACAATTCAAAGCCAGCCCAAGGCAGAAAAATCTGTTAGACTCATCTCCAAATTATTACTGGAAGTGGAGCTAAGGCTAAAAGTGATATACAGCACTAGCCTTGAGCAAAAAGAACTCAGTCACAGTGCCTAAGCTCTGAGCTGAGTTCAAGCCCCAGGACTGGTCCCCCATCCCCCAAAAAAGGTTTTAGAGCAAAGAAATTAATTTTATTTATTTATTTATTTATTGTTGGTTGTGGGGCTTGGGCTCTGTTCCTCAACTCTTCAGTTCAAGGTGAGTGCTCTACTGCTTGAGCCACAGTGCCACTTCTGATTTTCTAGTGGTTCATTGGAGATAAGAGTCTCACAGATGTTCCTGCCTGGGCTGGCTTTGAACCGAGATCCTCAGATCTCAGCCTCCTGAGTAGCTAGGATTACAGGTGTGAGCCACCAGCGCCTGGCCTTAGAAATTAATTTTATTGTGATACAGAATTCAAGTCTAACCATCAATTCTCTAAAAAATAAAACTTCAAAATACATGAAGCAAAATAGGATAGAAATGCAAGGAGAAAATGTATCTACAATTATGTACAATTGGAAATGTTTACAACTCTTTATTAACAATCAATACAGCAAGAAGAGAAAGATAGGAAGGATACAGATGACTAAGGCTACAGACTAACTTTGATTAACATTCACAGCACACTGCATCCAATGGCAGCATATTCTTTTGACATGTAAATGAAGCATTTACCAAAATAGATTATATTCTGGGCCATAAAACAAGTTTCTATATATCTAAAAACATTCCAACTACCCAAAGTATTTTATTATAGAAATCAAAAACAGGAAGATGGTTGAATAGTTCCAAAATATTTGGAAACCTTTCTAAATATTCAATGGGTCAAAGATGAAGAAATTAAAAGGGAAATTGAAAAATATTTTTAACTGAATGACAATGAAAACATGACATTATCAAAATCTCTAGTAGTTTGGCAGTAGAAAAGACAAAATGACAGGACTGACATCTAGTAAACATTTACTAAGCCCCATGAATATACATCATTCATTTCAGCCTCCCTGTAGCCACATGACAATGATAACTAACGTAACTAATGCATCCAGGTAGTGTTCTAAGAGTTTTGTATGTTAGCAGGCTTAATATTCTAACAATCCTGTAAGCTAGGATTGTAATTCATGTTTTACAGACCCTGAGGACATGGCATATGGAACAGAGTCACTTGTCCAACATCAGAAAGGGTGCTAGTCATTGGAATCAGCTGGGCCAGGACTCTGAAGTCCTCCATTGTTATTACTCCTATGATCTGAAGAAAAGAGTCACTGCTCTTCCTCAGTTTCTATACCTGTCAAATGGAGATATAATCACACCTTCTTGAAAAGCTAATATAAACTGTTAAGCTAGATACTTGGTATATAATCATTAATGCTGCTACTCATATTAATGTATTTATGAGTTTGGATAGAAGCTAGAGATTGTCTATGAACATTTGCAGCTTGGGATGCATCTAAAACCAGACACAGTAGCTAACTGAGTTGCTTCTGAGTAGCTACTAGATGCCAGGAATGTCCCTAAGCCCTGAGAATATAAAGTCCTTATAGGGCTTAAATTCCAAGGAGACAGCTATTTAATAATCTTGGAGTCGATTATACGATTTCAGTGGGGTTAAATGGCATAGAAGAGAAAAGCAGAGTATGTGAATGGGCTATAATGAGGAAAGAAGATGCTGATCCAGCATTAGAATCAGGGAGAATTCCTGGGGGAAAGAATGTTTAATCTAAAATTTAAATGGCAGAAATGATCTAGGCAAAAGAGGAAAGGGAGGGAAAAGGATGTGTGAGGCAAGGAGTAGACAGCCACAAGGCAGAACCTGCTGAGCACAACGGAAGAGGCTGGAAAGGAGGCAGGGCCTAAAAACCAGGTTCCCATGACTGGTAGAAGAAGGAATCAAACCAGACATCCTGTCTGGCCCTTTGAGCTCCAGATGTCTGGAATTCTTTGGGCTGGAAACTAGAGCCAGGCGATGCCTGGATGTTCCCTGCTGTGCTGCTGGCTGACAGATGTGGCCATCTGGCTTACCCTTGAGGTGAGCCCTCAGAGGTCTGTCGTCTATCAGCTCCAGACACTGCCAGATCCACTTGTAATAGGAAAGTGAGGAGGCAAGGTCTACCAGCCTCAAGATTTCACAGCTGCCCTGTACACATAGAAGAACACAAACACAGGGTTAAGCTGGGATGCTTCTGCTTGGCCAGGCTCTCAAATAAGCCCTCTGTATTGTATCTGACCCATTTTGTTTTATTTGCTCAATGCAGTTGTTTCATGTTCCTTTGTTTTCTTAAAAAATTTTTTTTATTATATTTAAGTAGTTGTACAAAGAAGTTCCCATTCTACAAAACAGTATATGAGTACAAGGTGTCTGACATTGTCCTTTGTTTTCTTAATAAAAATATTAGCTTGCCATAAAAAGTCAAACAGCTAAAGTAGCAAAAAAACAAATACAATGCTAACACTGGAACAAATATCACAATGAAGGTCATTATTGGGGCAGTTTATAGTGAAATGCAGTATAAACTTGCCAATTATACAGGTCTATGAATACTAAAATTCTCTGCATTTTGTAATTATTCTGTGGCTGATTTCTGGTATCAGAAAATAGTCACAGGCAGAATTCATGCCTATTTGTAGCTAGTTGGGAGGCAGACAATGAGAGAACCATGGTTTAAGACCAGGCCAGACAAAAACTGAGAGTTCGTTTCAGATAATATCCTAGAGACATTCCAGCTACATGCTATGCTATAGGTAGGAGGATCAAAGTCTGTGAGGCCCATTCCAAGCAAAAACTTGAGACCCTATCTGTTATAAGTAGCTGAGTGGGGCTGGGAAGGTGGCTCAGTGGTAGAGTGTTTGACTTGCACGCATGAGGCCCTGGGTTTGATTCCTCAATACCACGTAAGCAGAAAAAGCTGGAAATGGTATCGTGGCTCAAGTGGTAGAGTGCTAGCCTTGAGCTGAAGAGCTGAGGGATAGTGCCCAGGCCCAGAGTTCAATCCCCACAGCTGACAAAACAAACAAAACCCAACTGGCTGAGGGTGTGGCTCAAGTGGTTGAGGGCCTCCTTAGCAATCCCAAGAATGAATTCAAGCCCTATTACTGCCCCCACCAACCATCAAGTTAACAGGATAGATGAGCACAATGAATGAAACTTAATTCTTAATTTAGGCAGTGATAAACATGAAAGCAAATTGGCAAAACATTAACTGGTGATTTGGATGAATATTCTGAAGTTCTTTGTATTGCTCTTGTAATTTTTTCTATAAATTTAAAATTATAATTAAAATTTATACAATTATTCAAAGCAACATTAAAACTACATTAATTAACTACATTAATGTAGTTAAAACTACATTAATTCGCTGGGTACCTGTTGCTCATGCTTGTATTCCTAGCTACTCAGGAGGCTACAATCTGAGAATCATAGTTTAAAGCCAGCCCAGGCAGACAAATCCTTAAGACTCTTTTTTTTTTTTTTCTGGTGGTGGGGCCTGAACCTTGGGCCTGGACACTGTCCCTCAGCTCTTCAGCTCAAGGCTAGCGCTCTACCACTTGAGCCTCAGTCCCACTTCCAGCTTTTTCTGCTTATGTGGTACTGAGGAATCAAACCCAGGGCCTCATGCATGCAAGGCAAGCATTCTACCACTGAGCCACCTTCTCAAACCATCCTTAAGACTCTTATCTCCAATAAACTACCAAAAAGAAGCTAGAATCTGTAGAGTTGTAGCTCAAATGGTAGAGTACTAGCTTTGAGCAAAAAGATATTCTCAATATATTAGTTCAAAAAGTTTACAAGCCTACTGAATAACTCACTTAAAAAAACTTACCATGTACCATTTGTATGTATATAGAGAAAACCTTGAAAAAAGATTCTCTAATGTTACTACTAATTATTTCTGGATATTAGAATATAGGTTTTGTTTGTTTGGCCAATCCTGGGGCTTGAACTCAGGGCCTGGGTGCTGTTCTCTGAGTTTTTTTTTGTTGTTGTTGTTGGTCATGGGGCTTGAACTCTGGGCCTGAGCACCGTCCCCCAGCTCTACAACTCAAAGCAAGTGCTCTACCACTAGAGCCACAGCACCACTTCTGGATTTCTGGTGGTGGTTTATTGGAGTTAAGAGTCTCATGTACTTTCCTGCCCAGGCTGGTTTTGAACCATGATCATCAGATCTCAGCCTCCTGAGCCACTGGTGCCCAGCTTTATTAAATATTATTATTTAGCTGTTCTTGACAATAATATATAAATGACTCTTAATTTTGTTCAGGAAAACAAAGTCCCCAGTTTTAAAACAAAACCTCACCATCTTCCCTGCAATGGGGTGACAATGACCTAGTTTTTTGTTTTTTATTTTTTTTTGGGTCTGGTCGTGGGGCCTGAACTCTGGGCCTGGGAGCTGTCCCTCAGCTCTTCAGCTCAAGGCTAGCGCTCTACCACTTGAGCCACAGCGCCACTTCGGCTTTTTTCTTTTTGCTTATGTGGTGCTGAGGAATCAAACCCAGGGCCTCAGGCATGCAAGGCAAGTGCTCTACCACTGAGCCATCTTCCCAGCCCTGACAATGACCTAGTTCTGTTCAATGAAATGTAAGTGTAAGGAGCTGGGGAGGTGGCTTAAGTGGTAGAGTGCATGCCTTGCATGCATGAGGCCCTGGGTTCGATTCTTGAGTACCACATATGCAGAAAAAGCCGGAAGTGGCTCTGTGGCCCAAGTGGTAGAGCGCTAGCCTTGAGCTGAAGGGCTGAGGGACAGTGCCCAGGCCCTATGACGGGATTAAAAAAAAAAGTGTATGATTGCTGGATAAAACTCCCAGGAAAGCCATTACTATCTTTTCTCTTTTGCCTTGCTGCTTTTGTTTCCTTTAGACATGATGGCTACAGAAGTAGCAGCTACACTGTGAATACTAGGATGATAGGATGAATAATAGGGCAAGGAAAACTAGGAGGAAGCCTGAGTTTTGGCGGGCTTTCTACAACAGTTCTAAACTTGTAATGCTTAGTTCTAGATGGATTATTACATGAAAAAATAAGTTACTATTTAGCCACTTGCATGTGGTTACAGACAGCAGGTATGATATGTATATATCATAATTCTTAGAGAAGAGAGAGAGAAAAAGAGAAGAGAGCATGAGAATCTCAATGGCCTGGGTCCTGAGTAACCATGAGAAGCAAGTCTTTCTGTTTTTGTTTTGTCAGTCATA